TCCTTGCGTTATGCGGGCCTCTCACTGCTGTGGCCTCTCCCACCTGCGGAGCACAGGCTCCGGACGCGCAGGCTCAGCGGCCATGGCCCACGGGCCCAGCCGCTCCGCGGCATGCGGGATCCTCCCGAAACGGGGCACGAACCCGTGTCTCCCGCACCGGCAGGCGGACTCCCAAGCACTGCGCCACCAGGGAAGCCCTCCCCTAGTCATTTTTTGATGAGTTAGAAACAGATATTGAATTTCATTCATTGTACATATAATAACGGATTGATTGCTTTCAGTGTTTACAGAATTGAAAAAAGCCAAGTTAATTTTCTCTGAACTTATTTTTTAATTGGGGAAGTAGAACAAAGACCTGAAAAATGCCATAAGGACAGTTAATGGAGATGGAGAAATCATGGTGACTTGCAGTGGGTTGGGGTTAATAAATAAAATGGATTTTGTAAGTGAGAAGAGAAGAAATGAAAACCAAATTCTCTCTTATTTTCAGAGCATAGGTTCTCCCTTATTTTGATAAAATATGAGTGGGGGTAGGAGGTGAAAGGATTTGGTAAAGAAAACAGAAGCAGAGAAGTGGGAAGAGGACCAGAAATAGTATAAGGTTGTATAAGCTAAGAGATGAATTTCAAGCATTGGAGTTTGACAGGGCTTTTTTTTTTTAGATGAGTTAAAAAGAATGGGAACAGAAAAAGGGCCATTAGTTTTGAAAATAGGGTATCATAAGTGAGCTGAGAGAATAGCTTCAACAATAAGGTAAGAAAGGAACACAGACTTTAGGAGATTAAAAAAAGTATGGGGTGGAAGAAGAAATGGAAGCAATGGATAGACTATTTGTTGAAGAACTTAGAAAAGCAAAAATAGAGAATTAGCATAGTCAAGTGAAGATCTTTTCAGGGTGTGTTGAAGATATGTAGGAAAGTCCCTTTGTCATGTCTTTTCTGGTGACTCCAAAAATCTGTATTAATGGGTCTCTGTAGTCCAGTATTTTTATCAACTTTCTAATTTTTCAGGACACCTGGCTATCTCATTAACAGACTGAGCGAGTCTAAAACCATTATCTTGGCTATCCTGTGCTCACTCCACAACTCCCCTCGTTTTTTAAAAAAAAGTTTAGCATTATTGAGGTATAATTAACATTTTATAAAATCTACACATTTAAAATGTACAGTTTAATGATTTTTAATAAGTTTATTGAGTTGTATAAATATCACCATAATTCAGTTTTAGAACATAATTCAGTTTTAGAACATTTTCATCATTCCTATAAGATTCCTCATGGCTACTTACATTTAATCCCTGTTTCTACCCTTATCCCCAGGCAAATCTCCACAAATTTGCACTTTTTGGACATTTCATATAAATAGAATCATAAAATATGTGGTCTTTTTTTTTTTTTATGTGGTCTTTTATATTGGCATTTTTCTTTTAGCATAGTTGTTTTAAAATTAATTAATTGATTTTGGCTGTGTTGGGTCTTAGTTGAAGCATGTGGGGTCTTTGTTGAGGCATGCGGGATCTTTTGTTGAGGTATGCAGGATCTTTCATTGAGGCGTGGGCTTTTTGTTGTTTGTGGCGCGCAGGCTTCTCTCTAGTTGTGGCATGTGGGTTTTTCTCTAGTTGTGGTGTGCAGGCTCCAGGGCTCGTGGGCTCTGTAGTTGTGGCACGTGGACTTAGTTGCCCCACAGCATGTGGGATCTTAGTTCCCCAACCAGAGATTGAACCTGTGTCCCCTGCATTGGGAGGTGGATTCTTTACCACCGGACCACCAGGGAAGTCCCTCTTTTAGCATAGTTTTAAGGTTTATCTGTTTTATAGCATCTATTGGCACCTCGTTCTTTTTTTTATTGCTGAATAGTATTCCATTGTTTGATTTTACCACATTTTGTTTATCCACTCATCATTTGATAGACATTTGGGTTGTTTCCACTTTTTGGCTATTCTGAATAATTCTACTATAAACATTTGTGTACACATTTTTGTGTAGGTCTGTGTTTTCATTTCTCTTGGGCAGGTATCTGGGAGTAGAATTGCTAGGTCATATGGTAATTGGTTAACATTTGAGGAACTGTCACCCTGCTTTCCAAAGTGGCTGCATCATTTTCTATTCCTACCAGCAATGTATGAGGGTTCAAATTTTTCTACATCCTCACCAACATTTATTATTATCTGTCTTTTCGATTATAGCCTTTCAAGTGGGTGGTGTCTTCCTAGTGAAGTTGTATCTCCATGTGGTTTTGATTTGCATTTCTCTAATGACTAATGATGTTGAGAATCTTTTCCTGCCATTTGGATATCTTTGGTGAAATGTCTATTCAAATCTTTTGTCAATTTTTTATTGGGTTGTTTGTCTTCTTGTTGAGTTGTAAGAGTTCTTTGTATATTATAGATACACATCCTTATCAGATATGTGATTTGCAAATATTTATTCTTTTCATCTTCTTAATGCTATCTTTTGAAGGGCAAATTTTTGAATTTTGGTGATGTTTGATTCATCAAACTTTTAATGGACTGTGTTTTTGGTATCATATCTAAGAAATCTTTTGTGTAGCCCAAAGTCTTAAAGATTTTCTCCTATGTTTTTTTGTAAAAATTTTATAGTTTCAGCTTTCACAATTAGTTCACTGATCCATCTTGAATTGTTTTTCTTTGAATTATTTTTGTACATGCTGTAAGGTAAGGGCCCAAGTTCATCTTTTTGTATGTGTATATCCAGTTGTCCCAGCACTATTTGTTGAAAAGACTTTTACCTCATTGTATCGTCTTGGCAGTCCCTCAGTTTTCCTCTTAACCTTCTGTCAGATTCCTATTCTCACCTAGGATCAAAAGATGAGCTGTCATTTATTCGGTCACCCCACCCATTCATTCATTCCACACTTATTGAGTATTTTGTGCTAAGCACTCTTTTTCTTTTCTCCAAAATTAATTTGTATTGGAGAAAAAAAAAACTCCAGTTTTTCCTTCTCCTCAGTAGGGAAAAACCCTCAGTTCTTCCTCCTGTTTCCTTTTTTTTTTTTTAATTGGAGTATAATTGCTGTACAATGGTGTGTTAGTTTCTGCTTCACAACAAAATGAATCAGTTATACATATACATATGTTCCCATATCTCTTCCCACTTGCGTCTCCCTCCCTCCCACCCTCCCTATCCCACCTCTCCAGGTGGTCACAAAGCACCGAGCTGATCTCCCTGTGCTATGTGGCTGCTTCCCACTAGCTATCTACATTTCGTTTGGTAGCGTATATATGTCCATGCCTCTCTCTCGCTTTGTCACAGCTTACCCTTCCCCCTCCCCATATCCTCAAGTCCGTTCTCTAGTAAGTATGTGTCTTTATTCCTGTTTTACCCCTAGGTTCTTCATGACATTTTTTTTTCTTAAATTCCATATATATGTGTTAACATACAGTATTTTTCTCTCTCTGACTTACTTCACTCTCTATGACAGACTCTAGGTCTATCCACCTTATTATAAATAGCTCAATTTCGTTTCTTTTTATGGCTGAGTAATATTCCATTGTATATACGTGCCACATCTTCTTTATCCATTCATCCGATGATGGACACTTAGGTTGTTTCCATCTCCGGGCTATTGTAAATAGAGCTGCAATGAACATTTTGGTACATGACTTTTTTTGAATTTTGGTTTTCTCAGGGTATATGCCCAGTAGTGGGATTCCTGGGTCATATGGTAGTTCTATTTGTAGTTTTTTAAGGAACCTGCATACTGTTCTCCATTGTGGCTGTACCAATTCACATTCCCACCAGCAGTGCAAGAGTGTTCCCTTTTCTCCACACCCTCTCCAGCATTTATTGTTTCTAGATTTTTTGATGATGGCCATTCTGACTGGTGTGAGATGATATCTCATTGTAGTTTTGATTTGCATTTCTCTAATGATTAATGATGTTGAGCATTCTTTCATGTGTTTGTTGGCAGTCTGTATATCTTCTTTGGAGAAATGTCTATTTAGGTCTTCTGCCCATTTTTGGATTGGGTTGTTTGTTTTTTTGTTATTGAGCTGCATGAGCTGCCTGTAAATTTTAGAGATTAATCCTTTGTCAGTTGATTCATTTGCAAATATTTTCTCCCATTCTGAGGGCTGTCTTTTGGTCTTGTTTATGGTTTCCTTTGCT